GGTTGGGTTGGATTGTGTTGGGATGGATTGGGTTGGCTTGAGTTGATTGGGATGGATTGGTTGGGATGGATTGGGTTGAGTTGGTTGGGATGGATTGGGTTGGGTTGGTTGGGATGGATTGGGTTGAATTGGTTGGGATGGATTGGGTTGGGTTGGTTAGATTGGGTTGGGTTGGTTAGATTGGGTTGAGTTGGTTGGGATGGATTGGGTTGGGTTGGTTGGGTTGGATTGTGTTGGGATGGATTGGGTTGGCTTGAGTTGATTGGGATGGATTGGGTTGGGTTGGGTTGGTTAGATTGGATTGGGTTGGTTGGATTGGATTAGGTTGGGTTGGTTAGATTGGGAAGTTCAGTGTGTATATGTCTGTGTGAACTTAGAAAGAACCCTCTCCCACCCACCGCCACATGGTGTCTCAGAATCCTATGCCTGGAGCTGGCCCTCATCCTTGTCTCTACTGCAATTTCAGACCATCCTGGTGGGCGACAGTGGCGTGGGGAAGACATCTCTGCTTGTTCAGTTCGACCAGGGCAAGTTCATCCCCGGCTCCTTCTCAGCAACTGTGGGCATCGGATTCACAGTAAGCACCCACTGCCCTTGGCGACGCTAGACCTGGCTCTGGGCCCTGTGTGTAGCTATCAGGCTCCCAGGAGGAAACTCACCTGAGATTATTCATGAAGTCTGAGAAGATGATGATTTCCCAAGGTGTAGACGGGGTATTGGGAAGCATGAGGGGCATGCAGGGAGGGGAGGGGACCATCACCTGTACCAGAGGCAAAGAGATCAATGGCAAGTGCTCCCCCTTCAGTGGAAGGATCAGGAAGGCAGCCAGGAGACTAAATGCCTGCTGCTGTCACCTTACTCTCCAACTACCTGTGCCCCACTCTCCTTCTGGGGCTCCCAAAGAGCTGAATCCAAGCAGAATGCAGAAAGCCAAGGAGTTAGCTGGCCTTCCAGGGAAGTGGGATCTGGAGGGGCAAGGGGACAGCTGAAGATTTGAGGCCCAGTCCAGACTTCGCATTGTCATGTGGTTTGGGGGAGCGGGCAGGCCGAGGGTTCGAATTCAGCTTGTAGCACTCTGCCTCTCCCTGGGCACAGCTGGGCAGCCATGCTGAAGAATGCTTCTTCAACATTCTTTGACCAGGACGCCATTGAAAGCCAAGGAGTCCTCCCTCCTCCACACAGCCTCCTTCCCCTCCATGCTCAGTGACCCTTGACCTCCTGGGAGATCTGGAGAGGATCTCCTTCCTGAACAGTGTCAGGAGCAGTGGGGGTATCCCTGGGGTCTCCAGAACCCCCTAGACAGAGATGAGGAAGCGCAAGCGTCTCTTCTCAGGCAGCATGGGTGTTTCTGAGCCAAACTCAGGTCAAGTAGACACAGGGCTGACGAGGTCTGCACAGAGCTGGGCCCCAGCAGCGCCATGCTGTTGGAAGCGAGAGAGGAACACCCAGAAAGTGAGTCTCAAGTGGAGACCCAAAGCCCACCTGCAATTGGACAGGCCCTCACAGGGGGGCCATGGGGGTGGGGGCGGATGAGGAAGTCAGGCTGTGGTATAGCATTGATGAAACTCATAACTATCTTCTGATTCTTTAATATTTCCTCCCCTTATTATTAAGGCTTATGCTTCGCCTCATTAATACTGTTAGACCTACGTACATTCAGGCATATAAGTAAGATTGTCCAGTGCAGCAATGCCAGGATGGATGACCCTATGGAAACAGCAACAGGAGTAATGATTCCCTGAGGATACAGGAAGACAGCGGGGAGGAGTGAGGGGAGGGGGAGCTGATAGAAATAATAACTGTAGATCTCTACTCAAGGGGAGAAAATAAAAGAACTGCAGGTGGAAAAAAATATATATATACGTATAATAATAATATATAACAATGACAACAAGGGTTCCTAGGGGGAAGGGTGGGGAAGGAAGGGGATAAAAAGGAGCTGATAGCAAAGAGTTCAAGAAGAAAATTATCTGAAACGGATAATTGTAGCAATTGTTCAAG